AAATTTCAATTGGGCCGTGGCCACAGGGGGCCCATCGAAAAATGTTACTTGGGTTTTTTGTTTGGGAAATTACGCTCTTTCCAATGATGTGCATATTGCCGGGGTTGGTCGCGAAATTAGGGGCAATACTTAGAAAGGGCCTCTTTGGGGCCCTCTTTGGGCCCTTCCTTGGATTCCCGGTGGTTTCTTCAGCCAGATTGAAGAGGGGGGCCAGGAGAGTGTCTGTGCAAATTTTGAAGAAAATCGTAGGGGCGCCCCATTGGGCCCCAAATTCATTTGGGTCCCGTGGACCCAGGTGGGCCCCATCGAAAAATGTTACTTGGGTTTTTTGTTGGGAAATTACGCTCTTTCCAATAATGTGCATATTGCCGGGGTTGGTCGCGAAATTAGGGGCAATACTTAGAAAGGGCCTCTTTGGGGCCCTCTTTGGGCCCCTTCCTTTGGATTCCCCGGTAGGTTTCTTCAGCCAGATTGAAGAGGGGGCCCAGGAGAGTGTCGTGCAAATTTTGAAGAAAATCGTAGGGGCCGCCCCATTGGGCCCCAAATTTCAATTGGGTCCCGTGGGCCCCAGGTGGGCCCCATCGAAAAATGTTACTTGGGTTTTTTGTTTGGGAAATTACGCTCTTTCCAATGATGTGCATATTGCCGGGGTTGGTCGCGAAATTAGGGGCAATACTTAGAAAGGGCCTCTTTGGGGCCCTCTTTGGGCCCCTTCCTTTGGATTCCCCGGTAGGTTTCTTCAGCCAGATTGAAGAGGGGGCCCAGGAGAGTGTCTGTGCAAATTTTGAAGAAAATCGTAGGGGCCGCCCCATTGGGCCCCAAATTTCAATTGGGTCCCGTGGGCCCCAGGTGGGCCCCATCGAAAAATGTTACTTGGGTTTTTTGTTTGGGAAATTACGCTCTTTCCAATGATGTGCATATTGCCGGGGTTGGTCGCGAAATTAGGGGCAATACTTAGAAAGGGCCTCTTTGGGGCCCTCTTTGGGCCCCTTCCTTTGGATTCCCCGGTAGGTTTCTTCAGCCAGATTGAAGAGGGGGCCCAGGAGAGTGTCTGTGCAAATTTTGAAGAAAATCGTAGGGGCCGCCCCATTGGGCCCCAAATTTCAATTGGGTCCCGTGGGCCCCAGGTGGGCCCCATCGAAAAATGTTACTTGGGTTTTTTGTTTGGGAAATTACGCTCTTTCCAATGATGTGCATATTGCTGGATTTTGTCGATGGTATAGGCCTGAAATTGTTGAAAACGTTTATTTATGCCCCGAGGGCATACTCCCGGGCCCATATATTTGAAGCTGTTTTGTTCGGTTCAGGGGGGCGCTAGCCCCCTAAATTTGGTACTGTTGCACGTAAAATTTTGTCCTCTTTCGAATGACGTGCATTTTTAGCTGTTTTGACGGCTAGAAGTAGGGTTTTCAAAGTTCGTCGATTGTGCCCTGAGGGCATACTGTTTTTTGGGATTTGTGGCCCCCCTGATGGATTCCCCGCATTTTGGCACTAGGATTTTCGATAGAGGACACCATTCTGCACCTCTCCACCAAAATTCAGCGAAATCGTAGGGGCCGTCGATCCCTGCTGAATCCCTGCTGAACCCCTGCTGAATCCCTGCTAACTTCCGTTACATTCGGACTGTAGCGGTTGTAAACAACTTGTCGCCCCGTGTGTCTGCCCGTGGCGCTAGTTATCTGTCGGAGGTAAGGGTGAAAGATGCATATAATGGCCATGGAACGCTATTTTAGGATTATTGGTGAATAGCAAGAATATAGTTTTGGTGGTTTGAAATTGTTTGTCCTCAGTGATTGGCTTGATTCTCATTTTGCGGCATAAGCGGCTGTTTGGTTACATTGCATTTTTTATGATTGTGTAATTATTATGATTATGTTCCTCCAAAGTAGGCATCACATATCAATCTCAAAGGCAGATCATCTTCTTTTCATGCCTATAATTTTCTTCAAGAATATTAATAAGAAATATTCCATTTACCCCTGCCTATCATATATCCCATGGAGCTGCCGGTGGAAGTAGGCATGCAATGTGACCTAGCATTGGCGATGTGGTTAATTAGCTTTAAAGTACTATTGAATGCTAAAGGTCATCATTTAGAATGGTTTTCAAAACATTCCACTAGGAAATATTCATTGAAACCTGAAAATTACTTACAAAATGTAAATGTATAGCCACGTCTCAAGAGCATTCAGCCGTCTTCTCAGTAAATATATAATGAAACATAATCTTACCTGACCTAGCCTTACCTACAACCTACAACGTACGTCATTGGTAAAGCTGGCATCACTGTCAGCGTATATTAGTTTGGTAGGTTGTGGGTAGGTAGGTTGTAGGTCAGTAGGTAAGGTTAGGTTAGGTTAGATTGTTTTTAAGATTCCTTTTATCTACACATTTACCGGTTAGCGCTGACGGTGACACCAGCTTTACCGATACCCAACCTACCACCTACAACCTACAACCTAAAACCTACCTTCAATGGTGGCGGGTGGTGATAATTGTTATACCTATATGATAATACTGGAGATAAATACCATACAGATTAGCTGGTATCCATGACACTTTCTTAAGAAGAAGGTCTTCTATTAAATCATGTCTATATTATAGGAATCAAATGATTTTTGATGTAGTAGTCACATTCCCTACTCTGACCATCATGTCTGATTATTTCCAGTTACCACTGACAATGCCCAAAACAAGAACAAGAAAGGCGCAAAGGTGGCTGTTTGGTAGTGCGCAAAGCTGCTGGTAAGTGGCATCAAAGGATAGGATGTGCTTTGTTATTTCCAGGCACGTAGCCAGGATTTTGCTCAGGGGGGGGGGGGGGGGTTCACAGGTTGTGGCCTAGTGTTGTACCCCCTCCAAAAAAGGAAAATTTCTCGGATTAGGCCCACTATTTTTTTGGGGGGAGGGGGGGTGTCACAGCTGGTTTTATTTTTAAAAAAATCGCCATCACCGAGGGGGGAAGGGGCACGACTACGAGGGCATGGCTCCCGTGCCCCTCCCCCCTCCTTGGTTACGTCCTTGGTTATTTCTGAGAGTTTGGATATCACAAAGCTTTAGATATAAATTAGAATGTAATAAGAAGCTTTCAGCATTGCACCTTTCCAGACACTGATAATTCATTTCCCTTTATTGTTTCAAAAGTCAATTTTCAACACAAAAAACTTGAAATTATTAACTCAAATAATTGCAAATATATACTTTGGTAATTTGCCTTTCGCATCACTATCAACAAAATAATCAAGGGTGACTAAATATGAAATGTTCCTGCATGATCTTCATCGTGAACAATTGTCAAGGTATGATGTTTGCGTGTTGAAATGTTATAAATAACTTATGTCATAAAAACACAACTTGTAAAATTGTGTCTTTCCATATTATTCTGCAAGTAAGCCTTGGAAGGAAGAGACACTATTCCGTCCTACAGAAGCCATTTAGAAATGTGTGACATGTTCAGCACTTTGAGTCAGTCGGTGCCCGGACCTCAGTCGGCTGTATGACCGTCTCCTCGTCCTCTTTTGTCGGCTCCGCCCCGTGCTGTTCTATAAGGGTGTCTGACCCGCTGCCGCTATCCCCACTGTGAGGTCTGACCCGCCGCGCGCTGTCACCACTGTCGGCCCTCTGTGTGCGCGGCAGGTGGTGGTGGACCTGGACGTCTCTGCCCTGACGCGCGGCGTGCGTCTGCTCAGTGTGGAGGTGCCGCTGACAGCGGTGCCGGCCGGACCGGCTGCCTCTCCGGCGGCCGACATTGAGCGCGGCACGTGTCCGCCGCCGTTCGGGCCGCTGCAGCTGCTCCAGTCGGCGGCGCAGCTGTCCGTCTCCGTGTCGCTGGCCGTGCCGCTGGACCTGCTGCCGCGGCCGGCGCCGGCGCGCTGCGCCTACGGCCGCCTGCTGGCCGTCGTCTCGCAGCGCGGCCTGCAGCGCAGCGGCGTGCTGCAGCTCATCCAGCAGCTCAACGAGCCGCCCAGCCCGGCGGCGGCCGAGGGCGCCGCACCGCGCCGGCCCGGCGACGTCAGCACGCCGGGCATCAGCGGCTTCTGCCTGGCCGACCGTCAGCTGCACCTGCTGTTCGCCGAGGGGCGCGCCGACGCCGAGCTGGAACAGACGGCGGCCGCGCCGCGCGCTCTGCCACGCCGCGACGCTCGACTCTGCCACCATTCGGGCCTGCTGTTTAGGGAGCGCCTGTACCCGCGCCAGCCGGCCGCGTTCCGCGTGCTCGAGGACCGCCCGCTACGCGCCCAGCTGCTCGACACCCGCCTCTACACGTTACAGAAACAGGAGCCGGCGCGCGCCGTCCGCGCCATCAGAGAGTGCTTCCGCACGCAGTGGCTGTCGGAAAATGAACCTGCTTCCCAACGAGGCCGGCCTGCAACAACTGCTGGCCGGCTGTTGGCCGAAAAAAAACGCCTTCAACCGGATGTCAGTTGTCAAATCAACGCGTATTAATGCATTCACTAGGATGGGCTTACGTAAAGCTGTAGAATTGCAAATATATAATGGCACTGTTTTTGATCCGTTCGGTATGCATTGGTATCATATGATCTCTCATTCACAGACGATCAGCTGCGAAGACCCAGATCCGTAGTAGAGGGCTCATCGAGTCTGGGTCCAGCTCCCCGTACTTCCTCCACTTTGGAAACACCGCAGCGCAGACCACAGTTATACATAATATTTAGTTTTCATTCACTTCATAACCGAAGGTTGTTTGATAGGTGATATGCTGCTTGAGTTGCACCCCGGTATATCAATACGAAGCTTCCGTCCCTGCCACATACCAGTGAAGGAGGCGGCGGCGGCGGCGGCCGGGGCCGGGCTGCCCTGCCCACCGACACAGTCTGTGAAATGTCCCAACAACCTGTAAAATTCAACAGGCTTCATAAATGTTTTTTTGCACCATATTTTCTCGCGTATATGAAAGCTCTAAAATGTACAATATTCCTTTCAGCCGCAAGCGATATAAAACCTCTACAAAACGTCATGTCTCTGTGTGCAAGAAAGACACATATATTGTGTATAATCGAGCGTACATGATCTGCAGCGCTGCGGAGGGCTGCTCGGTTGCCGCTTTTTACCAGTTGGCTCTAGGTCGGACATATGGGTAAACAAAATGGAATAGTAATATTAAACAATGCTACCTGCTGATGCTACTGGGCCTCTCATTGGTGAAGAACTGGCAGCCAGCCAGCGTGTTTTTGTGAGAACTGTTTTAACAGCAGCAACCGAACGGCTCTCGGGCCAGCGACCAGTGAGCGTAGACAGCACAGCGCTCCGTTAGGCATCGGCGGGCAAGCACGCATTAGCTGTGGACGGACCGGCCGCCCGAACATATTTGTCGGTATCGAAAGTATCGTGAACCAAATGACTGCTAGCGAAAAAAAGGACTGCCTCTCGTATCCATGAAAACATGTGTTCTACAAAAGTACATAATTGCTTAGTTGTCGCCAGTCACTCATTGCACCATGGCGTCAGTGTGGGGCCGCGCCCCGAATCATCTCAATCGCCAGGCAAAGCATCTCAATCGACAGGCACATGGTAGTCCAGCTACGAATCCGAGCCGCGGCATCCCGTCTATGTATCTACATTACACCACAATCGAACACTGTCGGGCCACCCGAGACAGCAGTCTCCAATGTAACATCAAAACACGCCACTCGTCTAATATCAGAAAAATGAGCATTGAGTACCTACCGAATATCGACTACAGAAGATTACAATGGGGTGCAGATCTAGCAAGAGTGTCGCGGTTCGTCTCGGCACGGCTTACAGGCCGCCGAGCCCGCGCAGGTGACCGTCAGCTCCACCTGTTCCACCTCCGGCGCGGAAGCTCGATCACAAGACTGGCCTCAGTCGGCGCTCTGTGCTCGGCACAGGGCGACCGGGTCAGGAGCGGGCCGCTGCCGCCAGGGCCGCGGCCACCAGCCACGCGGCAGCGCCCGCGCACCGGCCGCCACCACCCGCTCAGCCCAGATGCGCGCCACGGCGTCATTGGGGCTTCCCTGAGCAGGATCGAACCAGAGCTGCATGCACGGCTCCAAATCCGACGTGAACTTCCACGAGTGATCCCACACCTGAAAAAGGCGCACGGTTTGCGTCACAGCTCGGCTCACTTTCACAGTCCACGCACCGGCAGCAATTAAGGGCTACTTAGATAGTGTGCTAATAGAGCGCAATCACTTAGCTTAATCCATAGAGTCAACCATGAATTGTTAATTACGAGCGAGCGAGCGAAGCGAGGTCTTTTCAATATCACGGAAAAAGCTCAGTATGAGCGGCCCGACCCGGCCCGGCCTGTAACGCTTTTGAGAGGCTTATATCTCAGCAACCGCTGGACCGATTGGCCTGCGGTCTTTTTTTTTTGTTGGCTAGCCCTATTCCCTCTACCCCGTAATTGACTACTCTTGATAGGTACATTACAGGGACCGTCGTGGCACGTGCCACGTGAAAAGTCAAGGGTGTTATTTGTCAAAAGTTGCAAAAGAAGTGATTTTGAGAGGCTCATCTCAGCAGCCGCTTGGGCGGTCTTGCGGTAAATTTTGTAGGGTAGCTGCACCCCTTCAACCAAAGGTCGGATGCTCTTGATCTATGTGAGTGACCCCCACTGCACGTGCAAAATGCAAAAAGAAGAGGTGCCGAATTTGTTCCCATTTCAATAACTCTGTAATTACTGGGGCGATTTAGCTGAAACTTGGCATACAGGTAGGCAGTAGGCACCCACCAGGCAATGCATTCCCATATGTTGCGGTTAGGGTGCTACTGCTTAGTGTATTATGTGTAAAATAAAGGACGCTTGAATCTTACCTGAGTGATGTCCATTTCTTGATCACTTTCATCTGTGGGTGACCGAGCAGCGACAGCAACCCAAGGCGTATACGGAATCTGTAAAAAATCAGCACACCGTTACCACATGTTTTAATAAAACTTACCTATAGGGAGGTAGCATAAAATACAGATCAAAACAATAACATACAAACATACAGATATTCGGTTAGGTTGAAATGGCTAAAAAATATAAAAAATAAGGGCAAGGTACTAGGGCTGTAAAGCTGTAAGGGCTCGGTACTAGTAATAATTTTTGGCTAAAAATATCACAAATAAAGACTCTGCACTAAAGGTGTAATGTCTGGTAGGTACTAGGAATAACTTTAGAGTGAAGTGTTACAAAAACAATATTCAAAGTCTTTTGATAACTTTTTTTAAACAATATAGCAGGCATTTTCATCACTTTTAAAAAAATAACTTACATTCTGATCCGGCACAGCACTGTTCTTTAGACGCAAACGTTTTTGACTGTGCTTATCATGGTGCGCACTTCTTGTTAAGTTAAAGTGGTCATGTGGTCTTGGCTCATTGGTCATGCCACACACCCTCATCCACTTTTCTCTGTACTTCTTTTTTTAGTGGGAACCTAAAAGTAAAAAAGGGTCAACACATGCTTAGTCCATGCAACACATACTCTGTGTATTAAGCTGAATAGCTCCACTGAGCCCAGTTTCACCAAGTGCGGTAAACTTAATTTTGGGGTAGTTTTTGTAGTTAAGTAGTGGGGTAGTTTGGTAGTTTACCCCAAATTGAGTTTACCGCACTTGGTGAAACTGGGCTCTGGTGAGTTTCCTTTTCTTGTCAGCACATAAGTGAAAGAAAACTGTGTAGACAAGAGATGAACCAAACCCCCATGGAAAGGTAGGTGTTACCACAACCAGGAAATGGGATTTGAAGGGCTGGATAAATGTGTCTGAGTTCTGCCTTTCAGCCAGACTGGAAAACATCCATACACTACGCCGGATGCCCGTGAGCCCCTCATGCGCCAAAATTTGAAGCAAGCAATTTTGAGCTGAAATTCCAGTGCATGATTTCCACTGAAAGTTGGGTGCCTGTTTGCACCAAAATTAAGCCACTTTTACATAAAGCACATGTGCATATCTACCGACCAAGGCTATATCAACCAGACAGATCGTTCCGGGGCCTCGGAGTCAGACGCTCTTCCCTTTCTGAGCGTCTGAATTAGTTAATGTTCCCATGAAAACCCAATACCACAATTTGTGTGGCACACTGTAGAATCTTAAGGTGAAACAAGGCCCAGGCCGGAAGTTCCGACTCTCTTCAGACCTGCCAGCGCCCGCAGGGCAAGTCTGCTGCTAGATTGACCACAGCGTGTCAAAAAATTCGGTGACAGCCATTTGCATTAACATTATGCGCCATGCGGTCACCCTGCGCCTAAAAATTCAGCTGCCACCATGCGCTGAATTTGATGCATGCAAAACTATGCTGGATGTGCAATGAAATTTTCGGGGCAGCGCCGCAATCACGCCACTTCGCATGACATATTCGGCATAACTTGTGTTTTTTTATCCAGTCTGGCATTTCAGTTGTGAAAGCCTGAACAATTCAAAAGGGTTTGCTAATCCAGGGGAGAGTTCTGTGAAAACAAAAGTAATAGAAGAGCCATTGCAATAAATAAGAATTTAGGTACCTACCTAGGTACCTACTTACTTGTGCACAGTCACACGGATATCAGTCCCGACCCGACGTAGGTCGTTTGCTCCGCGGATCACGCACTTCTTCATCGTTATTATAGGTATTTGTTCGAACAAAAATGCCCTGATTTCGGATCAGAGCCACGGTATATAAAATATGGTATACTGCCTTGCGAAAGATAAAAATACATTTTAGCAATTGGCTACCAAACGAGATGTCATCTGTTCAGGGCATAGCATAGGTTTACTTTCATAGACCTCATGAAAGTAGCTCATGAAACTCATCACCAATCAGCGCGACGGATTTCAAGATTCGATTGCGGATGTTCATCCGCCGGCCGATTGCCAGAACAGACAACGAAAAATAACGCAACTGCTCGTGGTCTGCTCGCTAGTACAGGGATCCGTGCCTGATCAGTACTGCTGCAAGCTGATTGGTTAAAAACCAAAGCCTCGCCGCGGGTGGCTGTATTGTCGGATAAGAACGCATTCCTGGGATAAGAACGCATTCCTGGCATATTTTCTTTTAAAATTGCCGATAACTACGAATGGAGGCCGAAATCGGCCGTAAGGGGGTAGACAAACAGGTTTTCGGACACGGGCTACAAGATGGCTATCTCAGTTTCAATCCCCATGTTAAAGGTGGCCCTTTTCCTTTAAAGCGCGTGTCCATCAGTGTCATTGTACCAAATTTGGTGTGCCTAGGTCAAGGTTTTCCGGAATCGGAGGATGCATCCTCAAAACATGTTTTTCGCCCCTGGCGCGTGCATTCCGCACCCCCTGCTGCCGAGCATACCATATGGTAATGGTCAAACACCGGGACATGTGACCTGTGAATTTGGCACCTGTGCCGTCCACGGTTTAATTTGGAGCGTCGCTTAAAGGTTTTTGCCCTTCCCGACTTTGTCGGCACGTGGCACGCGCCACGTGACACCGAATGACCTGTGTCATGCATCATCCCCTGCCTCAAAGCATTACCCATCGAACGGTACCACCAGCATCTCGATCCGATCATCCATTTAGACGCAATTCCAATTGTAATGGTTCGATGACCTTTCAGAGCATGGGTTTTTGGCAACGTAAAATGGCGCCTTGTCGGCTTCACCTGAATGGAGGTGGTTGCGGGTCCAGTTTAATTATACGTCCGTGGGCGGGACCGATTCAAAATTGAGTCGTTGCTACTAAAATAGCAGCATATGGCGACAGATGATGAACAGGAAAAATAGTTGCGTAAATTTAGACATAAACCACCCCCAAACCATTAATATCTTTTGAAGGCACTATAGACGACCATTAACTAACTAGATGTGATGAAGATCAAATGTGAGGAATACGCTCATTTTACAAAATTACATGCAAGTACCAAAAAGTGATGTAAGTACTTATTCAACGGTCATTTTCAGCGCTCCCCGCTAACGTGACTTCAAGTTGAGATATTTGCGGCAAGGTACCGAATTGAGCAAAATGGTTTTAATTTACATTATAACTTGTTGTGTTTTGTCAGAAAATGGTCCTAACTCAGATTTTGTGGAAAAAGGTCATAATCTCCCTTTAACCCTCTAGTGCCCCCGGTATCATACCTATCTGTAAGTCAATTTGCAGAAAATTCGCCTGCTAATCATAGAGGTGAAAATTGTTGAAAACCCTGCTGTATCAGAAGTGGTACGTCTTGGCAACCACCTGGTGGCAAAATTTTTAAGTAATGATTTCTCAGTTTCCCACCAGGTGATTTTGAAGAGGGTCAGTTTGTCCTTTGCCGAAAATCAATTTGAGATGCAAGTGTAAATTTAAGCATTTAGAAAACAAAAATTAGTTATTTGGAAAGAAACTTGGTATACTGTGAGACAAATGTTCAACATATATCATAGTATGTTGCAAAACATCGCAACGTTTTCAGGGTCAAAGATATGGACCTTTATTTTTGGGGATACTAGATATGATACAGTGGGCATAGCACTCCAATATTTTCTATGAAATTTTCGCCGCTGCAACATACGGTGTGCCAATACCATAGTTTTCTCAGGTGATAAGCATTGCAATCGCCTGTGAGTCATTGCAAATGACGATGGTACAAGATGCATAAATTTGTGAAGTTCGCACCTCTTGCGCCAGATAACTCTTTTTCGCTCCAGACTTAAAATGTCATAACGATATTGGTACGCTTATGCCGCCTCTCATCCTTGTCAATCTTCCAACATCTAGCTTTCTATGAGTGGCCTTACATGCCTCATACATCTCGACTTTTCTAACGCTCATGGGAATATGGTTTTGCATTGCAACTGTTTGACGATGACAATAGTGAACTTTTTGATCTGCAGGACACTAGCAGACCATATCTTCTAAAACCACGTTAGGAATGACATGCTATCGATGACAAGCTTGTTGATTTCAAGGAACGATCATCCGTGCGAGCATTTATACTCGTGAAACCAAAAATTGAGACTTGATGCTAGGGACAGGAGGATTCAGCGGTCTATTGCACAATTTCGCTATTCCAACAGGGGTTGTGGACGGGCTTATTTATGTCTTGTGGGTCTATGTGTTAGCTGGGCATGGCTGAAGACTTGCATTAGCAGCCAGCCAGCATTTTTCATTCATATTGGAGAGCGACTCACAATTTGTTTGCGATTCAAATCTCCTCCGTTCATCCCAGTATTAAGAGATTGAATGTGGAGTGGAAAACTATATCGTCATCTTCAGAGGAAGCTGGCTAAGCGGGCTCGCCATGAAGACATGTCTTCATGGCGAGCGACTCCGGACCGAAGGGCGTGGTTTCTTTGATTTCCTATCTAAGAAGTAGGCAACCATGCACTGCTGCCAGGTTCCAGCAGGTGCCTGAAACCTGGCAAGCATTTTCGCTGCCAGGTATGTCATTTGTTGTCATATATTGACATATACCGCCAACTGTGGTAGCTGAGTGCCACTGAACAAAAAGGATTTATAGGTACTAAAACATGGATACTACTTTTGTACTGACCATAAGAATAAAAGTTAAAGTGCGGCATTGCGTAATGCGTATGCTCACCTCCATATAAGGTCAATGAATATTGTGCAAGTTCCTGCCGATCGGTGCACAGTTACCTATACCTGTGTTCAGTGTTGTCTGACACGTACAACGGTTATTGCACTGGTCAGTGCGCGGCTGTTACATACTGACGCCGATGACATCAGGACCGCACGATCAGTCAAAGTACTAACTGACGATTCACAGGCTGAGAGTTTCAGTCACCCGAGATGTCAGGCTATCATGAAGATAAACCAACATCGTCTTTGGCATTGATTTCGGTCCGTCGGCAGGCTGTCCAGCATTTTGCATCAGAACTGCTTCACTTCAACCACTTACCGCGAGCCAACTGTAATGGCTTCATTTCTATATCAAGTATGCATAACGCATCTACGTTTGAGAAGCACGGCCCACATGTCTGAATTATGAAAAAATTGCATAAGTGCAACGCGCTGTATCGTGGAAATTGAAGGAATAGAAGGCACTCGTAAATAGATGCCTATGATTAGCGTTGTTCCCTAAGCACCGACTGAAAGGACATTTTGATACAAGAAGGATGCCAATGAAATATTAAGAAAATGAAAATGTTTAGATCACGTGACCTAAGGTCAACTTTTGACCTTTCGATCTTTCGAGGTCAACATACATATGTTTCGATGCGGATCGACGAGAGGATCACGATGGTGCTATTAGTTTGTTCCTAGCTGGGATACCTTGAAAGTTATTCGAGAAAAACTTCATATTTATGTATAGTGCCGCTATTTTGACTTCCTTTTAGCTCCTGTGACGTCATCTTTGACCTGACCTGAAAATGACCTCAGTAAAAATTATAGACCTTATCCGTGTGTACCCTTTACCGTTTACCGCTTGTCGCTATCTTGCTTTATTCTCGAGATCTCGCTGTCGCTCCCGCTCGTAATAATGGACAGGTCATAAAAATGACCTGACCTGAGGTCAACGCAGGGCGATAACCACTTTTTTATTATCGCATATGAATGACAATTGATAAGGCTTTAATCGTCATCAGACAAAATTGCAACTTTCAGTGGGGAAAATATCAACGTCACTCTTCGAAAAACAGGACAAAAGGTCACGTGATCAAAATTTTCAAAAATTGAAAATCCGAGATAGCCAAAATGTTTGTTGGTTGATTGTGAGTTGAACCATATGAAGTTTTTATCGTAAAAAACCAATAGTTTCTGAGTTATAGGCCGCCAAACATAGGGCTGCAGCGCGAACTCCAAGAATTGCCCGAGGCTATATCTCGGAAACCGTTGTTCGAAGAAAAAAATCCTTGCCACAGCTGGCTTCCCCGCCCATCACAACCCATTAGACCAATTTTAAGCAAAAAATAAAATATGAGGGTGCAGGGCACTTGTCGATTTGTCGTGGAACGCCCCTCTTGTAGGCCATATATGATGCATTGTGCACCGTTTTGACAGAGTTTATGACCAGAGGCGCCCATTGCGAAGTCCTGAAGTCCATGCTACTGAAAGCCCGATTTCAGGTGTTTGACCTGACCTTGACCCGACCTGTGACCTCAAAATTCAACTTTAAAGTACTCATCTGAAGCGTATCGTCGCGTTCTTTCGTTTGCCGCCTCGTGCGTTTCGCTGCGCCTATTGGTTCTCGAGTTATCGGCTGGGGGCGTTTAACGCCCCCCCCCCAGCAAACGGTGGGTGGCGAAATACCGCAGCAACTGCCGGGTTAACCCTCGCCTGTAGGTATAAGACATAAGTGTTTTTTTTCAGCCGCGAACGTATAAGGGGGGGGGGGTCCGTTGGACCCCCCTTGCCGTTTCGCCTCTGATCGAGCAAGAGCTTCGCAGAAAAAACGAGCGTGGTCAGGTCAGGTCAACCAGTAAGGGGTCCTGCCGGGTATTCGTAGTAGGTGTCAGCCGCCTCTGACAGCTTCGTAACATGTTACGAAGGCACCAAAACTACTTCGCAAATGTTAATATGGTTGCTAAATTCCAATTCAGCTAAAAAACTGGCCTAGAGGCTAGTCAGAATATAGAAACATGTAAACCTCCAAAAAGTGAACCGAGGTCGTCAAAGGTCAATGACCTGACCTTCATCCACCCACCCCAATGCATGGGACCAACATCATTTCACATGTTTGAACGCTTGAAACCACGAAAAGATTGCGCAGACTGCTCGCTAATGCGAGACTGCGAGCAGACATACACCGAATCGCGATTTCGGCCAAACATAGTCTCGAAAAGTACCTAGGTCACAGGTCAAAGGTCATTTGGGTCAGGGTCATGAAATTTTCAGGGTAGGTGTAAAATTGATCAAGTCGAGCATCTGAAAGTTTCGTCGCGATCGGCCGCTTTTTACGCAAAAACCGAGAGGGTCCGTTCGATCCCCCCCCCCCCCTATACGGGCGAGGGTTAAGTTTTTTACTCTATACGGGCGATACTAAGTCGACTAGCTTAGGTCAAATTGGAGAACATAATTCAAAAAGATTTCAAAAGAGCTGTCGGATGCGCTTTTCCGCGGCGCTATCCGCTACAGTCATGCAATGATTTGTCAATGTTGAAATTGACGAAATCTGACATTTGATTGCCTTGGGTGACCTGACCTAAAAGCTACCTTGGGTGACCTAAGTTTTTCATGATTTGTCAAGCTCTTTTTAATTACTGGCAGATCCAGAAGGGAAAGGGAATTTAGGGCAAATGCCCCAACCAGAGATCTTGGTCTCCTCTCAAGATAGCACTACCATTCACTATCCCATTCCCCGCGTTCGATGTCTCTCGGACGACGAAGATTCTACGTCGTCCGGCCAATCCCGTTCAAGGTCAGTGGGGGCTCGGCTGCGGTTATGGAACGTGATTGGCCAGACGGCGTAGAATCTTCGTCGTCCCAGACACCGAACGCGGGGTATGTTTACCATTCGCGAACTGTGCTTTCATCGGCCTTCAAAGGCAAAACCAACCACCCCGAACTCGTTCATCTCGTCGTCCGAAGGCCAAACAATAACTGTTTTATCACCATCTTTGTATTTATCAAAACAGCCCCAATCATACATGCATCGAGAATAACACGACCGGCAGCACACTGGCGCGGTGCCACGGTTCCGGTTTCGTTCCGAGCGCAGCAAAACAACCCCCAGCCAGCCCCAGTCAGGGCCGCGCGGCGCGAGCGTCACACCGGACCGGCCACAGATGCCAACGACGCAGTAGAGGCCCGGCGGCGGCCGCTGCGCAGTTGGGTGCGGCTCCGGTGCAGCGGCACGGAGCGACGCTATCCCGGCGGCGGCCGACCGGGCCCGGGACGCGCCCGGCTGAAAACACGGACACAGACCGTCAGAGGAGAGAAATGATTCAGATACGTGTGGTAGCTCGCGTGGGGCAATCAATGGGAGATACTATGCAGTAGTTGTAGAAAAAAGATAAACATTTCTGTAGAAAGAAGACCAAATTTTAAACGACATACAAAATCGGTATATACCTACTTATCCATATATTCAGCAATAAATGATTGCATAAATGCAATAAATGTGCGTCCCCAATACTAGGTAACAGACACGCGGTCGACTGCCACCATACAGGAAGGAGAAAGTTTACTGTCGCAGTGATATGGAGGGCGACGAGCACGAGCCAACTCGGCAACCAACGAGCACTGCACGATCGATGAAAGCCTAGCGCCGCAAAACACCGTCCCACTCACCATTAGAGAGCCACGTCCAAACAGACACCTGGCAGCGGCGTGTGCCAACGGAACTCTGAAAACGAACATGATACATCGCGTTAATGCCAAGAGGTGGATGGAAAATGCTCAACGACTCTGAAAATAGTTCAGACGCAAAACTGACGTCATTTATCGATCAGACGGCAATTCCTATCAGTGGAGGATCATCCTTTGTATCTTTAAAGTAGAGTAACTGTGATATGTTATGATAAAGAATATATTATACGCTTGAGACATATGATGCATCCAGATCCAAAACAATGCCACCTTTACAGCACATGCCCTCTACCTTCCAACACTGACCTGGAAAGCAACGGACGCAAATCTTCCAAGCCCAGCACCAGGCGATTACCTGCAAAGCGGCACCATATAATTAGGGATAACCTTTCACACGGAAAACCGTGGTAGGAAAATCAGCTGTCAGACACTCAAGTTGACGTCAAATATCGGTCAGACGGCAATTCCTATCAGTGAAGGTTCATCATAATAGAACTGCTGCGCAATAAACTCTAGGAAAGAAACACGATAAGCCGTATGGCGATGTCATACATCGACAAGCATTTGAAGCGTCCATTGCTCGAAGCCCACCCTTCCGGACATTGACAAACACGTACCCGGCGCTGAGCCTGGCGGCGCCTCTGCCGGTCGATAATCAATGCGGCGCCAGGCCTCCCCGGCCGTTGAAGTGGGCAGGCTGCAAGCAGTGTCGACGACCCGTCTGTCGATAAAGCGGCGCGTTTCAGCGGTTGGACCGAGGTCGGAGAGTGGGCCGACGACACAGTGAACACTTTCAGACACTAGAGTGGCGTCAGTTGTCGATCAGACGGCAATTCCTATCAGTGAAGGTTCATCATTAGAAAACAAAAGCAGTTGCAATAATCCAAATATCATATTTGAAGGAAACACTTGAAATGATCAGTTCAGTTACTAACCTTCTCAGTAAGTTGAATCCGAACGGCAAACTGGATGTCGATACACAGACCACAGGATTCCCCAGAGATCAAACGTCCACCTGAAAAGTATTCTGTGATATACATGTGCGATAACGAACTCACTATTCAACCAAGCAATACTGAAGTCCGGTTACCAAACATCCCAAAGCCTTCCGCAGCTGAAAAAGCTGGGTCAGATTAGAAGCAATTTCCCTCAGCGGATAAAGTTCATGCATAAAATCAAAACAGAACATTGGAGCCTGTATACTGTATAAAGCAAATACCAAGACTGTTCAAACAAACAACGGGCGTTCCAAAATAAACGGCACAGGTAGCATGCGTTGGCAGCGTTGGCATGACTTCGGACTAGCAACCCACAAGCTGACCAGGGGCATTTCACTCACAAGACGCATCTGTAAAAACAAAGTAGACGCAAAAGCCAGGATTCGCAAGGAATTTAACTACCACCACCAAATTCTTACAAAACGTGTTACAACTACGCAGTTACAACTACGACCCTGACCATACAGTTTACAGAAAGTTGGCAAACAAATTTGTTTCGTACTCATGCATATGCAGGATCTCCATTATGACTTCTGATGCCAGGTGTTCGCAATAGGTATGCAAGCATGACCGGGTTATAAACGCGAATTACAAAAGGCACTCGACCCTGCGGCCTGCTGATGCTAAATATGCAGGGTAGTTACTGGTTAGCAAATATAAAGCACCAATAGGACCCCCTTTGTCACAGAACTCACCAAAGAAAGATGAATCATGAAGCGTCGCACGACGAGAAGTCGTTATTGTGGATGGTCTCGGTGTTTCTCCAAATGGTGAAGCAGTAGACAGGCGCATGGCCGAGCGTTTGAAGGCTGGATAATACTCAGCTAGCTGGTGGCAAGGGAACCTTCCGCTGTCCTCCATTATGCCTTATAATATCGCGCGAATTGAGTTGTTTTTAAGTTGAAATCATTCTTGATGAATTGAAGGAAATGGCTACCTGACAAGTGGCCAGGACGGTCGGCGAACGCAAGCAACTTGACATTACTCGTCTTTTAGCTGTTTGTCGCTGATTTGTTACAATTACTGAATAACGCTAAGATGAAAGGGACGTGGCGAGCAAAGCATGTGCTTCATGCATGGATAGATCAAATTCGATGGGCCGCTGTTAATGTCGCCGTGAAGGGTGCAACTAGGGGCGTCTCTCTACGCGAACCCGTCACTTACCAGTCGAGCGTGCCTCCGCCATTTTGTAAGTCGGCGAACGGTGAGCGATCAGCCAAAGTCGGCCGCGCGTGCGGGCAATGGTGGCCAGGAAATAGATGCCAGTCGGCCAGGGGAGCAATTTACCCGGTCGCCGGCGGAGGACGACAGGCGGCATTGCGCCGGGGAGGTGCAGCCCGCCGCCATGAGTCAGCGGGAGCGGCTGCAGGATTCAGTGTCCTGGAAATAGACGCGCATTGAGAGAATGTGGACAGTGATCCAATCTCCCTTCTCGCCAGTCGCCTCTGATCGCTAGTTGACCAACACCGCCGTCGCCACAGCAAGTATCACAACACAATGTAGGGTCGCGACTTCAGACTTCACTTCCGGGGTGTTTTGAACCAAAAAGAAACAAAAGCGCTCGTGTGGTTGATTTGACATAAATAACCTAGGGGCGTAAACAATCACACATCCATTAGCCTTGTATTTCATCGTGCCACTAGCCAACATTTTGGTGTGTATCTGGAGTCGACTCAATGTCTGTCATCTCCGCGCATCCCGTAATCGTCCCACCCTGCGGGGACATCGTCTCTGAACATCGCCGCCGCCGTACGACAGGCCCAGCCAGCCTCAGCGCCTCTGCAAGGTCTCATATGAATCGTGAATGATCCCCCTCTCTGTACAATGGTGTATGAACGCCAGTGTGCTCGACATCACCCCTGCGCCCGCGCCTGCTCAGCGAGTCTAGTGCCTGTCTCCTCCACGCGGGCAGTCGCGAGAGATGTGGCCATCTTCGCCACACGAGTAACATGCCCGGCTCCTGCCGCCAAAACCGCCGCCGCCACCACCTCCGCTGGGACAATCCCGCGAGATGTGGCCCTCCTCTCCGCACCGGTAGCACGCCCGGCTGCCTCCACCACCGTATCCACCGCCACCGCCGCTGCTGCAATCGCGGGAGATGTGGCCCACTTCTCCGCAACGGTAGCAGGCGCGGCTGCCGCCGCCGCCGCCACCGCCGCGCGGGCAGTCACGCGAGATGTGACCCTCCTCACCGCACGAGTAGCAAGAGCGGTTTCCGCCGCCACCTCCATAACCACCGCCGCCGCTCGGGCAGTCGCGCGAGATGTGGCCCTCCTCGCCACACCGGTAGCAACTGCGGCCTCCACCGCCACCGCCTCCGCCGGGGTAGTACCGAGACATACTCTGCTTCTCAACCTTAAACAACGCACAATTTTGCACCATCATCACGACACTCCGGAATCCTTAACACTTTCAAGCTTCAAAATTTTGTTCAGTGGCCAAAATTCGATTTTACAATAATGTGAATTTAAGCAAATAATCAGTCTCATTGAAATTTTGAATGTCATCTTTTCAGTTAGCACACACTGGTAAAATTTTCAGCATTTTCCAATTTCAGTGTTTTGGAAGTAATGATGTGACTTGACCAATCCATCACCCATCAGAGGCTCAAATGCATCCCAGCAAAATCTTCAATTTCCAAACTGCAGGTCAAGGCATTTAAGTGTTTCCACAGGAAAGCTCTTTCACCTATCTCAAAAACTGATAAGATGGGTGCCACAGTTGATAAACTCAGCCGTTTTTGTTAGCAAATGTTGACCAGTTAAATTTTCAAATGCAGTAGCTGGCATGGATCTATATAACACCACTCAGAGCTGATGTTTATCAGAACAGTATGCAGAAAAAAATTGCAAAAAGCAGCTTTAAAAACAAAACCAACATGCCAGGGGAATTTGTTGAAGATGGCAGCCCTCATGGTGTATAATTGATCTTCCTGACCAAATTGTTCATGCTGTGCATATGCCAAATTGCCTTAAAATCAGTGACCATAATTTGTTGGTCACAGTTAAGGATTTTCCACAAATACTTTTTTACTAGAAGGAATGGCCATGGTCCTTGTTCCTGAGGCATTGTGACAGTCTGGCAGGAATGTTTTATTTTTCAACCAAGCTATCACTTGGTTTATCACTTTTCTAGAAGAAATGTCTATGCCAAGGGGAGAGATGTTGATGTTCAAAGTAAAACTTTCATCAAATAAGGCTTTTGGGCCACAGCCTTTCAATGGTTGAAGATATTTTATTGAAATTTCAGCCAAATTGTGTTATACATCACAATTCTTATCTTGTCTATGACTTGCTTGGAACATGAGCTATCAAAAAATAGCATGATCTTAAGTGCTTATTCATCCATGAAAACTGCACATGGAAATCCTGAGCACTTCTATTAACTCAATATTTTAAAGAAATGCATTCACAATGTTCTAAGAGTGCCTAATGTAACACAAACAGCATGATTCATGCTCTCCCTCACATAGGCTTTATATCAGCTCTTGAAGATTAGCCACTTTCATGCACTGATCTTAAAAAAACTGCTGGTCACTGACAAGAGGCTATGATGGTTTGTGAGGCTATATAAGCTATAATCGTTTCATAAAACATAATTAAATGGGGGGGGAATATATTCCCACCAATCAAATATAAGGGCCCAAAATCCTGAGAGAACAAACTGTGATTTCTGACAAAAAGGGACTAATCTTATGGTTGCAAAAACACAAAATCAATGATTTTTGCATAAAATTTTGGGCATTTAACAATCTTTTAACAAATTTCAGAAGTCAATAATGTTTTTAAAACCATAGCCAACAATCCCACACAGAAAAAATATGAACATCACTTTACACACTATGCCCATTCACGAAATATTTCATATTAGACACACTTCAATGTAATACACAACAAAGAAACTCATATGTTGACACCACACGCCACTCCACTTGGAGTTCAAAGGCTGAAACAGACTCCTTCCACGTTCAGGAAATCGCATGCGAGAGCCTATAACTCACCTGATTAAAATACATTATAATTTGTCTCGCATCAATCGCTTGCGGGAGGTGCGTGCGGTTGATGCGAGCGTGCTTCCATGTATTTGAATAGGCTCTCGCATGCGATTTCCCGACTGTGGAAAGAGTCTGTTTCAGGCTCAAGTTGGACAACCAAAACAGGATTAACACTTCAGAATAAAGCGACCCGGAATAAACAGTATACCACAGATATTTGAGCAATTACCAGAAACAAACCTTTCCCATGTCACATACAAGCATTTCAAGTGGAATGAAATCCGATACTTACAATTTACAAAGGGCAGATCAAGAACGCACCACACCCCGTCAGCTATGGCGTCCAAGTGAAAGAGGATGCGCGCGCGAGGTTACAGACCATCATAATGAAAACACATTTTGATGAAAAAATCAATTGATTTTATTTGCTTTATTTCTTTGTTTCTTACGAAAATGTTATATTTAATTATCTTTCGTGTAAAAATATTAAACCAAAACAATTTTAGTTTTCAAATATCAAAATTGGCATAGCCTGGTGAAAGGGATGCTGCAGATAAATCAAAAGTTTGTTGGTCGCACCCTTGGCACAATACTGGCGACATTTCTATGCTTTTTTTATTAATACTTTTGTCCCTACCAAGGTATCTAAAACACTGCTCCCTACAACTCGTTCGTCGTTTCCATCCTCAGGATGTTCAGATCCTTCTCATCCACGCCGCAACCCTCTCTCCGGGCTGGGCAGGCAACTTTTCTTGCGCTCGACACCCGGATAATTTTCCGGCTTCCCCGGTAATTTTTTGGTATTGCAGGGACCATCGATGCAATAGGCCACGTCTTTCGCTTCACAAATGCCTCTTTTACTCATTGCTATGTCTGCTGTGCACGGTGTCGGGTGTCAGACTAAAACACCGAATGATCCCGGTGATCCCGGAAAATTATCCCTGATTATCCGGATGTTGAACGCACGCTTTATCTCATGCGGGCTGCTCCCTCGGAGCGGCATCGCTGCTCCCAAGGGGCACACCCGTAGCCAGGTGCAGTGAGTACTTGGGGGGGGGGGGGGAGGGGCTGGTCGGCCAGTCCTACAGGACGGTCTCAGCCCCGGTGACTCACTAGGGCGTCTGCCCAGACCAATGTCTCCCCACAATTCCTATCATCCTTCCGGCTCTGAAATGGTTTCGTCAGGCCAAAATGACCTAAAAAAAAAAACACGAAAAACCGACATGACCATTGCGTATATTATCTACCACACATGTCTCTGCCGTATCTTTATTCTTTGACCCTCATCTGTTTCTGCGTTCACAGTTGACCAAACGGTTCACGATACACACGATACACGATTGAGTCACAAAACAACTGACAGTTGTTCTTCAGGCGGCCCGGCCAGCAAACAAAAAATTCCTGACAATCGCCGACGAGACGGTATGAGTGACTGACGGATAGATAGATGAATGAGCGATGGATGCTCGAACTGACCGAGCTCGAGCTCGTGGCACTCTATCACACTCGCCCTCGCACGCAAATAGTGTTTCACGACACCGTACTGTTTCGAGACACATTGTTCGAGCTAGCATTGATGACCGACAGCCAACACCTCCGTGGCGTACTGTGTTCTCACATCCTAGGCTGAGTATCCACTTCCTAAGTTGCGTCCCCACACCCCAAGCTGCGCCCGCCACATCAGCTAGGCGCCGCACATATTCTAGGCTGAGTACCCACACCCTGGGCCCCCTCCCCCGATCTCTACGCCGCCGGCCCGACCAGCGCGGTGGCGATCCGATGCAGAGCGGGGTTTCGGGCGGCGGTGACGGTCCCCCGCTGCAGGGCGGTGCGGTAGGCCTTCAGAACTGCGGCGTCTGTCTCCACCGAGCTCAGGTATAGCTCCAGCGGTATCAGCATCTGGGAAAACGGGCACGGTACTAACGTCAGCATCATCTATCGAGCCCGCGGTGACGCGGCTGGAGGGAATACACAACACAACAACAACAACAGCCTAGACCAATTACTCTATAAATACTGCTGATTTGCTCATCAGCTGGTGAATGTACTAATTCAAACACTGAAAAAGCAGAAGATACAAAAGCAGAAATTTAACCCGCGCCCTGATGGGGTCTGCCGAGCAACGCGGTCTGATGGGGGGGGGGGGGGGGCATTTTGGCCCCCCCCTAAGATCTCGAGAACCACGCAACATAGCGACAAGCGGTAAACGGCGTTGGATAGCCCCAACAGGGAACTACCTTGTGACCAAAGTTCATTGACCTCGGTCAAACCGATGACGTCACAGGTCAGGTCAAAGGTCGAATTTTCACCGTTTACAGGCATTTCAAGAAATGCGTTGTAAAATCGAGTAAAATGCATTTCATTGAAAATCATTGATGGGGAAATGTTCTTCAAACACATATTTTGCTATTCGAGGTCACTGATGCCAGGTCAGGTCACAGAGGTCAGGTCACTGGGGGGGGTCACAATATGAAAGTGTCGTGTGATACATGTTTTATGGTCCATTTTACATGTCAAATGCGATTATGTGGGTCAGACAGACTTTTGGGCCAGCTTAGGTCACGTTTTGGTCAAGGTCAGGCCTTGGTCAGGTCAAATTAGGTCAAATTTCAAAGTTGATGTATTTGCATAAAATGGGTATCGATTCGATGCAGCTCGTCACGGGGAGTTCAATGGTGGTCTTCGTTTTGCGCTACGAGGTCTAGAATTGCTAAAAATTGAGTTCAAAAAATTGACGTCATCAATTTTTAACAGTTTTTTTTTTCGCTATAACTTGGCCAAGAAAAGAGGTATCGATCTAAAATTTGGTATGTATATCGAAGAGCGCAGGGACTATCACATATATTCCGGTTTTTTCGAAATTCGATTTTTTTTTTGGAAATTTGAGTTTTTTCTAAAAAAAATCATTTTTTATTTTTGGGGGTCAAAATCTCAAAATTTCGAAAATCCGAGAGGCAGTTTTGTAGCGCCGTCTTTTCTCTACACAACCACATAAAGAACTTTAAAATTTCTTGGTAACTGTAGAATTGGTGAGCGTTTCAAGATGTCATGTTTTTTGCTCATTTTTACTCGAACATGACCTCAGTTTGACCTCAATAACTCCTGACCTGAGTTGACCTGTGACTTGAAATTTTGTGTGAAGGTGTCAAATTGATGCCCGGTAAGGTACCCAAAATTTGGCGGCGCGCAGCGCCGCCGTTTTCTCGCTATTTAAGAAAAACCACAAGGGGGGGGGGGGCCAAAATGGCCCCCCCCCCATCATGGCGCGGGTTAAAATTAAACGTCTGTCAGCTGATGGAAATATTGTTCTATCGCATTCCAAAGAATAAAATATAAACTAATTAAGCACAAAATCAACGACAATCATAAAAAGCCTCAACCAAATGCACAATTTATTGGATAGGTACACGATTTGTCGACATTGAGACGATTTGAATAGCCCCCCCCCCCCACTCCTCATGCCAATGAATTCCCTTGTAAATGCATGACCCGGCAAGCCCTGCCCCAGATTACTTTATTAAAAGCCCTGCCTCCCCTCCCGTTCCCCAGTCCCCACGGACCTGTTCGGGCCGGGTGGTGATGGCCCTCAGCGCGAGCGGCCGCTCGATCCACAGGGCACGCCGCAGCTCCGCCGGCTGCCGGGGCAGCAGCGGCACCAGGATGACGGCGCCAAACAGCGCGTCTCCGTACGATACGCCCTCGAACTGGTCCAGCAGCTGGGTGTACCTGTAGACACGCGCCCGGCACAGAGGGCAGGGAGGTTATCAAGGTCGCCAGGTTACCAGGGGTGACCGGGGCACATGGGCCAACAGGAACATTGAGTGCATAAAAGTCACTGGGGTTCAAAAGGTGACGGGTTACACAAATTATAAATCTCGGACACAGTTTAAAAACAATATTTATGGACGAAGGTCATCATGGTCACAGGGCTCACGGAGGCAGGGATATCAGGAACACAATCAAAGTTACATACAATTGTGTTCAGTCTGAAGAGTCACGAAATTCATGGACATACAGATTACAGAGGTAGACGGAGAGCAGCATAACAGTTGAATGGTGGAAGGAGTTCAAAACAAAGCGAGGCATACATAATCATTTGTAAAATCAATTAAAAAAAAACGCAGTTATACCGAGCGTGCCAGAAACAGTCTGGAAATACGTGGATTTTTAATACCTGACGGTGTTGAGTACAGCACACTCATGCGTTATTTAGTTAAAGACTAGCTGTTTCCTACAACTTGCCCACGCCTGATGACTACAAGGCCAGAGGTATTACAAAACAAAGGTATTCCCGCACTCCGCAGTTAGAATCGATCCGCCCGATCGCCCGGACCGCTATATGTAACTCACAGGTCTCCGAAGCTGGCCAGGCCCGGGACGTCGGCTGTGAGGTCCAGCTGGTCAGGATCCTCCAGCACGTGCTGTAGAACCTGACGTAAGCCCCGCTGCACGGCTGGGTCCAGGAACAGGTCATCGCCTGGGGGCACGGCGCGGGGTCAGACTGCGCACGTGGGAGATGAGTGATCCAGATACCAGTGCAATTAAAAGCAGACTGTTATAATAGCACGCTATCGAAACCAAGACCGATATACCTGACATAAAAAGAACGAAATTCCAACTGTAAAAATATTGTCACGCAATGACCGATATAAAACACAAACTCCAAAAAAGCAACTGCTTCACTTTTTCAGTACAACGGAAAACCACCCAATAATTGTTCAAAACCCATGAGGCCATTCGTATCATTCAATTCTAATTTCTAACGTCACCTCCGTCCCACCGTTCTCCGTACCTGCCAGGAACACGCAGCAGACTCGCGCAAAGTGCGCCGTCACGGACAGGGCGTCCACGAGGCGCCGGTGGCGGCTGAAGAGCACCGCCAGCAGCTGGAGACACCGGTCGGCCACGCGGGCCGGCTCCACGCCATACAGCTCTGCCCTGGGGTCCTCCGGCGGCGGCGGAGGCAGGGTGCCGGACGGACCCGAGGAACCCGCGGCGGGGGGAGCCTCCTCGCCGCTGCTGGGGAGGGGAGGTACGGATGGTCTTGGTTTGTCATTGAAAGCAACGCTGAACCCTCCCAAGTATCGTAGGTACCTAATCAATAACCATAGCTTGCACGACTGCTGCTGATAGCAATGAATATTGTAACAATCGACAGGTGATATGCGCAGTAGAGCCGTGTTGCAATCAGCAATCGATCACTCGATAACACTGCTGATTATAGACATATTAGACATTCAATGTTATCTTATCATTAAGTCTAGGACTTGCGATTCGCCTAAGGAATGTGATTAGATTCTCAAAATACGCAGAATCAATGCTTTGCGTTCAAACACTACTAAAGTGTGTAAAATTAGCCTGTATTTTCCCATCTCACTTTTAAGATACGCAGTAGGATACCACAAAGCGTTCTGTTGGCAGCACATTGCGTCGCAAAAACAAAACCCACTTCAATGACCGGTCTACGGTTGGCTGCGCAGCGCCGTCGTGCCGCAATATCGGTGGTTTCGCAATAGCATGGTTACAAGGCGGAACGTTGCAAACGCCGAAGCACCTGAGAAGGCATTGGCCGCAAGTAGAAATGAAATTTTGTATGGAAGACTGTCCACTAGTCATGGCGACCTAGGTCACGGAACAGAGGAGAAAAGCTATGACCCCGACGTGATTTGAACACGCAACCTTCTGATCTGGAGTCAGACGCGCTACCGTTGCGCCACGGAGTCAGATGTAAGAAACTGTCATATTGAACGATGAAATCTATCCTGTCCGCTGTAGTGCTAGCAACCCGAAACTCAGCATAACGCTCCAAAATAAGACATTATCATTAAAGTTAGGGTGCCTTGATGACCCTGACTACCACTCACCCCTGTGGATTGTTCCTCTCGTAGAGGCGCACCAGCGGCGCGTACCACCAATCGGCGGGCAGCAGGGTGGCGCCACTGTCGCGCGTCGCCAGCGCCGCCACGCGGCCGGCCAGCGAATCAGCACGGTCCCGGGAGGCGGCGGCCGCGGCCGGACGGAGCAGGCAGCGCTCGTAGAGGCTGTATGAGGATACCAGCTGGGCCAGGGTAGACTCAGAGACCGCAGGCACCGGCCTGTCACCCGGCTCCCTACGGAGAGCACAGGGGTTACCAGGTTAGACGGAATGCAGCGGATGACGGCTGCTATAAAGAGCGTAAAAAAGTGGCCAAACAATTAACAGCCCGAACAGCAAATAGAGCAGACCCTTTCAGGCTAGATCAATGTCACACTAGCCCTGGCCACCTTCGCATGGCCCAACAACATGTTATGAACGCCTTCATTAGAACTTCTAAAGAACCACAAACAATTGCCTATTGTAGCTCCACTTAAGCGTTCAATTTAGTTAATTACTTGCTCTCACTATTCTTTGTCATAGCCTCTAAGTCATAAACCCACAGTCTGCGGTCTCTATCATCAAACCCTGCCCCTCTGATCCACCCGCGCGCCTCACATGAGCAGCGCCCGGTTGAAGACGACGTGACGCATCAGTTCGGCGCACAGATGTTCGTCTCCAGTCTGCAAGCACGGCAGCAGGCGCAGACCCACGGTGTGGCACCGGGACGGGTTTGGAGACCCCTGGAAACGGCAGCGGGTTTGGTGACCACTGAGACAGACCCACGGTGTGGCACCGGGACGGGTTTGGAGACCCCTGAAACGGAGCGGGTTTGGTGATCACAGAACAGAGTTACACTGGAACGGGTTGGGAGACCCCTGGAACGGAGCGGGATTGATAACCACTGAGAACAGAGTGACAACGCAGCGCGGGTTTGGAGACCCCTGAAGTGAAGTGGGTTTGATCAAGATTCCTTTACTACTCAGGTTGGTTCACTAGGGAAATAAAGGCGCCGTGATGACGTAATCAGAGGAAATCCTTCACATTCAAATGAATGGGTCATTTGAATTGCTGATTTTGGCTCGATATAGTCCTACTTTTTTAGTTTCAGTCCCATTTATCGTAATGAGGCGAATTCATTGTTACATTGGTACATCTTTTGATGACATATAAGCCTTGATTTTTTCTCCAGCTTGCCCGAAAGGTGATGAAATTTGCATGCATGCCTATGGGTGAAGGGAGATTCTGCCGCCGTGGTGACGTCACGGTAAAGGGATTCTGGAGCTCGTGAACGGGGGCTGGGTTTGATCCAAGATTACTTTACTACTCGGTTTGATGATCTTGGGTTTGATGATCACTGGTATCGACCAGTATGAAATTAACGCAGCTTTGGTGAAACCCGAAACAAATACACAGCGTGTCATCATGAGCCATGACATGCCGTACGATCACGGCCCGTGATCGTACCAAGCCTAGAAATCGCCCCCATGGTTCTTGATACGATATCCGTCTAGTATCTATCCCTATCCCCTTTCCTTTCCCTTCCCTTCCCCCCCCCCCTCTCTCTCTCTCTCTCTCTCTCTCTCTCTCTCTCTCTCTCTCCCTCCCTCCCTCTCTCTCCCATCCGTACCGTCAGGGCGGCCTGCAGCAGCAGCAGCTCGGTCACCAGATGCACCTCGTGCCTGGTAAACCAGTCTCCTGACAGACTGAGACGGCCAGACCCCGCCAGGGAGCTCAGGTATGAGCTGACGGGAGCGCTGGAGACCAGTGGAAGACAGAGCTGGCGGAAAACGGAAATAGCGCGGTCAGTGGAGAAGGCACAGAGTGAACTACTGGGGAACATCTGGGGACTGGGGAACATGCTAGCAGTCACGGGCTAACGGTTGTGGGTAAGAAGTGGCGAAATCAGAAGCGACTTCGCCACTGATCGTAGCTGGTACATCCGACTTATCGCCGTTTCGATGCATGTTTTCATTCCGTTATGCCTATGCTAGTGTTCCACGAAGTCAGCCAGCTTACTGAGCTCGCAATCGCAACATCAGTGTTTGGTGAACGGTTCTTTGGTTCCTGAGCTGAACAATTTCCGAAAGTATCAAAATTTCGGATCATTAGTCAGTAGTCACACTAGCCTTGTCTCTATTCCACTGACCTTATCGGTCAGACCGGGATGGAGCCTGCCCACGGCCCTAATTAGCTGCAGCAGTGCAGTCAGCAGCGGGACGGGCGAGCCCGCCCGCAGCACTGGCGCCACCTGACCGGTCTCCCAGCTGACGGCGCCGAGCGACGGGAGACTCGCCGGGTCCCGCGACCGGCCGCTCGACTCGTCGCTCAGCAAACTTGAAAACTCCCTGCGAGAAATGGCGTGACGTAAGCACAAAGGGATTGTGGATTACACTGCGCTGAGCTACACAACGTTTTGAAGCGCGAGTCCTCAACCGGCCGTGTGGCCTAATGGATAAGGCGCCTGACTTCGGATCAGGAGATTGCAGGTTCGAGTCCTGTCACGGTCAGAACTTTTCACCCCGCACGACAAATATGGCGCAGTATTATTGACAAATGAAATCCAGAGCTAACAAGGTATGTGAAGATATCTATTCCATAATTTTTCAGTGCAACTATTCTGCGCCCACCTAAGTTTCTCCAGCTGCCTTAGGCAGGCCTGTGACGTCACAAATGGTGCGAGTGTGACGTCAGCGAGGGTCTGTAGCCGCCCAATCCTGGCTGCCGTGTCGTCCAGACCCAGCCGGGCCCAGCGCTCGTGGAAGGCCGCCAGGAACTGGCAGCATGCGCCCAACATCTGGACGGCGTTATCCTGGGGGACGGGGAGGGAGGGGTTGGCGTCATTCTGAGGGACAGGGAGAGAGGGTTAGCATCGTGACACTCGATGACACTCTACGACACTCGATGACACTCGACTCAGTGACATTCTGTGACATTCAACGACACTCAATGACTCTACGACTCTTCAAGACACTCTGCGACATTCGACGGCACTGTTGAACACAGAAACACTACCGCCAAAAAATATGAAATATGCGGCAGAACGAGATCACGGTTAACCGAAAACACACTGCGGCGGTGTTTCATGGGCGCTGCTAGCTCTCTGCCAGCACAAGTGTCAAACTCGGTTTCGGAACGTCAACAAACTCGGACGCTCCGACATTGAGTGACTTGACCACAAACTATGACGCCAGCTCGCGAAATGCGCTGGCAGCGTGGCAGCAGCGTCCTAGCAGCGGCCGTGAAACACCGCCCCGCACGTCACGTCCGCCCTTACCGTGAGTGAGTCGGCGCGGGCCGCCTCAGTCAGCCATTTCCTAGTGCACTGTTCTACCGGGTCCAGCAGGCCGGCCACGTGACCCCAGCGCAGCGCCCCCGGAGACGTCAGGTCAACCCTGCCAGAGGTCAGGGGTTAGATCAGAGGCGAGACTATATGGTGGAGGCTAAACATTGAACAATAAAAGCTACATCTTGGCACCGGCGTCTAAATAAATAGGGCTATTTCGTAGATTAATAAGCCGTTCTTTCGTCCTAAGCCATTATACAATATACATGTTTCAAAAAAGCATGACTGGACATTTGATGCTGTTGAGAAGTTACTCTTTCGGTTAGTGCAGAGTCGTAGACCTAGCCGGTGCGACTAAGCAGCTCAGTCTAAGATATTGTGTACCCTAGCCCATCATACTTAGCAGCTCTGTCTCTATCTGTCTCTAAAACGACTGCTAGGTGTTCACCCACCCAGTCTTGTTGAGCAGCTCGGTCTGGTGGTTGCTGAAGGCCGCGCAGACGGCGGTACGACAGAGCACCAGGATCCAGGTGGCCAGGTCGTGGTTGAACCGCTGCGACTCCTGGTGGTCGTTCACAGAGACAGAGGCCAGACAAAAGTGCAGCTGCCGCACCAACAGCGGGAAAAACTCACTGTCGGAGACACACAGAGGCGGGAGGACTGTTACGTTCAGACAGGCGGGCGGCTGAAAATCGACATCTAAGGGCTTAGAGGAGGCGTCAAGATGTAGTTAGACGAAAGCAGGCCCGGAGTACAACATAAAAAGTGAAAAAATCATGTTTACAAGGCAACCGCACCTCCCGGGCCGCACGGCTGATGCCGCGCGGGCTACAATTGAGTAAAATACCTATTATACAACAATTCGAGAATGTCAGGAGAAAGCTCACACGAAATAAAAGTTCACCAGGCCACAACGTGAAATAGGGTAGCCACTGCGTCTAAGCTAACAACAGCGAAATAATATTGCACAAACACCTGTAACTGCCGCACTCACATGAAGTTGGTGTCTGCCAGGTTGTAGCTGAGCAGCACTGCCCACAGCCGGTAGGACTCGATGGCCAAGGTGAGGACCTCCTGAGTCGGCATACCCGACTCACTGTGAATAGAACAGCAATGAGAAAGGACGCACACAAACAACGGTGCTAGGGAAACAAATGAAGCGTAATAACAATTTGGCGCCGAGGACGTAAAATGCCGTGGCGAGGCAGCTTAATAGCGCAGCAATGCTTTGTGAGCATGAATATTGAGGGAAAGTGATCTGTAGACAGCATGAAAACACTTTTGTCAGTTCAAAGATAGTATCAATCGGAAAATACAGTACAACGAATTATGTGTCGATTGTGCATGAATAGCGATTGAAGTTCAGGCAGCTTTCTCCCAACTCGTTTCATTCCACGAACTACCGACTCATTTACCGTCCTCGCTCTCTCACCCGGGGTTGATAGCCACATAGCTGAGGAGCGCCTCCATGACGCGCGGTCGGAGCCGCACCAGCCGGCCGGCCAGCTGACCGCTCTGACTGCTGAGGACCCGCAGCAGTTTTAGGGCGTGGTGGAGGGGCACGCCGTACACCGTGCTGAGACGCTCCACCGGCTCCGAGCCCTCTGAGCGCGGGGAGAGGGACGGTTAACACAGAGGGTAGTGTGCACAGTAACAGGGCTTCAGTTCAGATGGGCATTGATTGCTTGCATTTCGATCTCATCGAAATGCAAGCAACCAATGCATTTCGATTGGTGAGCAACCAATTTTCATCCTTGGTGAAAAAATGACCGTGAAATTTGAGCTGCATGCGATAAAATGGAAATGGCTCATTAACATTGGCCAATACGGCGACAGGAATTTGAATGAGACCATCTTATTTTTAGATCCATTCCGTCATAAAGTGAACTAAACGAGAGTGAGTAGAGATGAGGCATCCATATGCATGAACTCAGTTGAGACCCGCAGCCAACGCAAGACTCAATATCCGACGGTATTAGCTGAGAGTTGCCCCCCCCCCCCCGTCACACACCCACTTCGCCTCCCGTCACCGACTAGTGAAGCAGTGCCATATACGAATAGAAACCTCGTCCGGCGTCCCTTATCCATCCGGTCCAGCCCATCACCCAGCGGAATGGTCTCACAGACTGTCAGACTCCCGGGACTCCGCCTCCCCCAGCCCCCGCCGTCACCCACCGAGCGGCGCAGTGCCACAGACGGGTAGAAACCTCGCCCTTTATCCATCCAGTCTACCCCGTCACTCACTCAGTGCCGCGGAAACACAGACTATTAACTAGACCCTCGGCCCACCGGGCACCCAGAGTGATCCGCCAAAGCACCCACCGAGTGGAGCGGTACCACAGACGGGCAGGAAGGCGGTCACCACCGTGTCCAGCAGGCGGGGACACGACGCCACCTCTGCCGCCAGCTGCAGCGAGTGACGGCAGCAGCGGGTCAGCAGACGCAGCGCGGAGACCACCGCGGACGGGGGCGGACGCGCCACCTCCAGTAGGTACCTGGAGCGAGGAGAGGAGTCAGACCACGGCGGCTCAGCCAAGCAGTGGCGATTTGGGATGCATTGGGCGGCAATAGGTTAGTTTACCTCGTTTTTGTAATACTACGCGTTTTCATTTTACCCGACCGTACCCTACCCCACCAAACTTTGCCCTTATTTGACTATAACGAAATCCGCGTCTATCGTAACGAAATTGTTTTGCCCAAAGCACGAAGCACATTGCAAATTTAACTTCAACCAGGAGCAAGGGTGAAGTTCCCGTTCCAATCACACATTCCAGACACACTTCCTTGTCCCTCACCTGACCCGCGGCAGTGCGTCCACGCGCACCAGAGCGCGCACTGCGTCCAGTCGGGTGACGGCGTCGTCCTTCAGCCCGGCCTCCTCAGACCTGTAGCGCTGTGCCGTGTCTGGCTCCGTGTCCAGGGTAGTGGGTAGCGATGGCTGCTCCAGGCCGCGGCTCCAGCCCAGAGTACGGTCCAGGCACACCTGGCGGCGGGGCGCGGAGGGACGGTCACAGGATAGGTGGGATAGGGCTTTTGTATGGGTGGGTGTCCCGGCATTAGGATTTTCGTTCAATGATTTACGGATGTTCACGAGCTAAACTTTTCGCTCCTAATGCACGATTTTATTCTTTGTAACACTGTCACGTACTAACCTAATTCTAACAAAATGTCGTAATAAGGGCGCAAAATAACCCTGCCGTCGATGCGCCCTGAAAACCTCAACAAAGAGTAATTATAGTCAAACCATCGCAGCACAGCGTCATAACATATCGCAAGCCTCAACATCTAATAAACACGGCAGCCGGCTTACAGTAACGGATATCCAAGGAAAATTGTAAAGCTTCACACAGCTACCAAAGCGTCCAGCCAAACACCAAGAGCCTCCTACCCTCCCCCCCCCCAACACCCTTCATTCGTTATCACGACCTTCATAGTTCCACATTCACCCCCTCCACCCCTCCCTCCCCCTCCCCTCCCCCACCACGGACTGACCTCATCGGGTCTACAGTCGAGTAGCGCCTCCATGGCGGTCAGCGCAGCGTCAGCACCGGCTCAGCAGGATCGTCCAGAGCGAACCGCAGCAGAAGGGCAGGCCCGCGTCCAGCAGGCGGCCGAGCAGTGGCGGGTCGAGCACGGCGTCATATACGCCGGACTTTGTCTGAGGGAGAGGGAGAGAGTCAGGGAGGGGAGAGGGAGAGGGAGAGGGAGAGGAGAGGAGAGGGAGGGAGAGGGAGAGGGAGAGGAGAGGGGAGAGGGAGAGGTAGATGGAGATGGAGAGGGAGAGGGAGAGAGAGGGCGGAGAGGGAGAGGGAGAG